CTGTCAGGGTGGCAAGGATCTGGAACCAACTTCCAAGGGAAGTGGTGCTAGCTCCTACCCTGGGGGTCTTTAAGAGGAGGCTGAATGAACACCTTGCTGGGGTCGTTTGACCCCAGTACTCTTTCCTGCCATGGCAGGGGGTCGGTCTCAATATTCTGCTCAGGTCCCTTCCGACCCTAGAAACTATGAAACTATGAAACTATGGAAGTCCCTTCCCTTAGCCACACCCCTTACCCCTTGTATACTGTGTGATGTCACCAGACCCGCCCCTGACCTGTCACGTGGCGCATTATGCCACCAGCCCCGCCCCCTGAGCCCAGTCACATGGTGCGTGACATCATCAACTCTGCCCCAACTCGTCACGTGGTATGTGACATCAGCAACTCCTTCCCCACCTCCAGTCTTGTGGTGTGTGACACCAGCAACCCCGCCCCAATCCCCAGTCACGTGGTGCGTGACATCAGCAACTCTGCCCCCCACCCCCAGTCACATGGTGTGTGATACCAGCACCACATGGTCCATGACATCAGAAGGACAGCCCATGCAGACCCCCAAAGCCCAACCCCTCAGGTTGCAAGAACTGCCCTAGATCATGTGGTGTAGTTATGACCTATCGCCCAGGCCGTGAAGCAGATGTTGAGAATTTGGAAGAGGGTATCTTTGTGCCATGGTTTAAATTTGTCCTCAAGCGTCTGAATGCACCACACGGGTGTTAGCGTGGGGTGGGTGTTGGGAGAAGAGGTTACCAGACATGTCTACACAGGAGGCTATGTTAAAGGAAGTTTACTACTCTCCTGGTGAAGCTGGCAGTTTTGGTGGGGTGAACATGCTTTTTGAAGCCACCAAAAGGCAAAATAAGGTTCTGAACAGAAGTGGGGTGGCCGCATGGCTTTCAGATCAGGATGCTTACACCCTACACAAACCAGCAAGAAGATGTTTTAAAAGATACAAGACAGTTGTTTCAGATATTGATGCCCAATGGCAGGCAGATTTGGTGGATATGCAGCAGTCTTCCAAGAACAATGGTGGGGTTAAGTTAATCATAACAGCGATAGACATATTATCAAAGTATGCCTGGGCTGTGGGTCTAAAAGACAAGTCAGGTGGTGAAATAGTTCGGGCCTTTAAAACCATTTTTATGAAGGGCCGTGTACCTCAAAAATTACAGACTGATTGGGGAAAAGAATTTTTAAATAAGACTTTAAGAAGCTGTTAAAACAGTATAATATCCACCATTTCATGACAAACAGGAAAGTGAAAGTGGCGATGGTAAAGAGGTTTAACAGAACATTAAAATCAAAGATGTGGAAGT